TTTTTTTTTTTTCTTGTTTTTTTGTTTCTCTTCTCGTTAAGCGTAATTTAATCATCAAGCGATATCGAGCCACAAGAATTCAAACTGTAAACATTTAACTTTGGAAATACATAATTTCACTTGATATTCTACAATTTCAACGCTATTACGGTGAAAGTCTAATCTACTTTACACCACGGTAAAAATCGATAAAAATTAATGAACGGCGGTGCAAAATTTTTATCGAGAAGAGTTGATGAACGCTCAGCTTGTCTGTGCAAAAGAGACAGTAGTTTTCTTTAAACCACTTAAAGATAAGAAGAATAATACGTTTCGCGTCAGACTGATCTAGATCAAAAGTGTACAGCACAAGGGAACAAACGACTTGAAACACAATCGATTACACTTGTTATTGCAATTATCACTATTTCGTACACACGTGTAATCCGTTTGCAATTTTCATCGGCAATATTTGAAATCGTGTTTCCACACCGTCGGACAGATTATATTTATAGATGATTGCAAACATAAGTACGAGTGAAACGAGCTCGCGTGAAAACGCATCGTAAATCATTGCTAATGCAAGATGTTACAAGTCTGGTCGAACTTTATGTATCAGACGCTTAACTTGATAGAGTACTCATTCGCTCTAACTGCATCTCGGATTTCAATTTCAAAAAGCTACGAAATATTGTTAAGAAATACTACGCTGGCGGAATGTAGAATTTTTGTTCAATTGAAATTGAAAACGACTGAAATTAAATTCAAGCATGTTTACAGAGATGTAATAACAATCACTTGTTCGCTGTATATTTTGAATATACGATATTCGACGATATTCGAGAAAACGGGGAAAAAGATGGAACACTTAAATAAATATTCAAATATTATAGACGATAGTTCTAACGTTACCTGGACGTCTGGCAGCGCAATGGTTCGCCGCCAACGAGCTTTCCACGGCTACGTCATTGAGCATATTCGGCACCCAAATAGGGATAGCCTTGAGTTTCTTGCTCACGCCGATCATCGTGAAAAATCACGAGAATTTGGAGGACATTGGCGCTGGCCTGTCGCACCTGTTCTGGATCATAGCTATTATCATGACGATTGCGTTCATCCTAGTTGTAATACGTAAGTTCCTCTCTCGCAAGCAGCTGGTCTCTACTTTCCAAATAGGAAAATACCGACAACATTTGCCGAACGTTTTTCTTTATCAATTATCGTGAATCCGACAATTCAAACAGCTCGGGGGATACTCATTGGAATTGAATGGAAATTCGAAACGAAATTCATACAGTTGTTATTTCGCACAGTGTTCGAGGACGATCCGAAATTACCACCGAGCAAGACACGAGCTCTACAAAAGTTGAACCAAATGCAAGTCGATGAGAGTATTGTCCAGCCAATTAAACGATTATTCAGGAACAAGAACTTTCTGATGTTGTGCAACTCGTACGGTTTGGGCATCGGTGTGTTGAACGTCGTAGGAACGTTGCTAAATCAAATATACCTCGTGCACTTTGAGGTGAGCTGATTTCCAAAGAAATTATTGTTCCACGTGGGCGTCGTCTTCGATCGATCGATAATTAGGAGATGTCAATTTTCGTCTAATCGTCTAATTGAACATTTTGCAGCACGGCGAACAGGACGCGGGTATAATTGGTTTGGCCATAACCATTGCAGGAGTGGTAGGCTCCGTCTCTTTTGGAGTAATTCTCGATAGAACGCATAAATACAAGTAAGAACGTTTTACTCAAACTTGGTCTTTCTCTTGCAAACATTATCTCGCAGCCTCTTTCACTATCTTCGTTCACGTTCATCTTTCTTGCATGAATTTCACTTCACTGATTTGTCTTTCGGAGCTTGTTGGCAAAAACGAATCGCATATTTAGAGCTGCGCAATTCAACAATTGAAAGCTACAAGTGGCGTAGAAATGACATTTTATCAAGCTAGAAATTGACGATTATCTGTAAATCTTGAGAAAGCTTGTAACTTTTCAATTTGTTGATATTGTTAGTAAATCATTGCGCAAAAGTGTCCGGATGATCCATTTCTTATTTTTTTTTTTTTTTTTTTTTTTTTTATTTAACTCATTTCACACGTTTCTTATTAATTCGATTCTTAGCAACTCGAGAACATTGCTATTTAACAATCTCGGAACTGAATATTTGTCTGACTGTTGAAAGAAATGACTTTTATCGGTGATAAATAGCGATTTTGCTTGAGCAAATCAAGTACACGCAGGAACGTTCAGAAAATTAGTAATGCCGAATTTGAAAAGATGAATGAAACAGGAGAAGTGAATCTCTTGAAACATAGAACACAGAAAATTGTAATTTAATGAATGTAACTTCTCTATAAAATTCTCTATAATTTATCAACGCTAAACAAATGTTTGATTTATGCTATGATACGAAAAATATTACGTTTATTGTAATATTCATTTTGTGAAAAATGGATCAACCTGGACACTGTTAATTTTACAAATTTCTCTGTATATTTTTTTGTAACTTGTCTCTCCCTCTCTCCCTCTCTTTCTCTCTATCTATCTATCTATCTATCTATCTATCTCTCTTTAATATTTTACAACGAAACTGGACGTATGTATTTTCAGGGAAACGACTATAATTGTCTATTTCCTCGCGCTGTGTGGCCAGATATTCTTTTCTATGTTCACGTGGCTCGAAATGAAATGGATGGTGTATCTGTCGGCTATTTTCCTCGGGTATTGTATGCACACGCCTCGTTATATTATCAACAGATCATTTCAATTAATAAATTCGTACGCGATTCGTATCCACATGAAATTACACGCGTTAAATTACCTCGGTAATTATTTTACGGAGAAACACAAAGTTCCTTCGATCTTCATATTTTCAGAATAATTCATAATTTTCACTATTTGACCCGTATTTCGATTTGAA